TTATCTGTTTGCCAGAATCCAGTGATGATTGTGGATCTGCAACCATGAACTCAAGACTACTCTGTCCTAAAAAGAGGTTAATATACAGGTGGTAGATCACCATGAGCTGACTAGCACCTCTTTGAAAACATTTAAGTTACTCTATTCGGCTGTCCGGGGAATTTATAATTTATTCTGTAAACCTAGGGGGAAAAAACAGGCACTACACATAGGCAGTAAATACACTATTACTTCTAAATCCACAAGTGTCATTTATGTAAGGAGTATTGCAATATGTGCTGGGCCAAAAGTGTAATTTATGTCAGGAGTATTGCAGTGTATGCTGGGCCACAAGTGTCATTTATGTCAGGAGTATTGCAGTGTATGCTGGGCCACAAGTGTCATTTATGTCAGGAGTATTGCAGTGTGTGCTGGGCCAAAAGTGTAATTTATGTCAGGAGTATTGCAGTGTATGCTGGGCCACAAGTGTCATTTATGTCAGGAGTATTGCAGTGTATACTGGGCCACAAGTGTCATTTATGTCAGGAGTATTGCAGTGTATGCTGGGCTACAAGTGTCATTTATGTCAGGAGCATTGCAGTGTATACTGGGCTACAAGTGTCATTTATGTCAGGAGTATTGCAGTGTATGCTGGGCTACAAGTGTCATTTATGTCAGGAGTATTGCAGTGTATGCTGGGCCACAAGTGTCATGTATGTCAGGAGTATTGCAGTGCATGCTGGGTGACAAGTGTCATTTATGTCAGGAGTATTGCAGTGTATGCTGGGCGACAAGTGTCATTTATGTCAGGAGTACTGCAGTGAATGCCAATCCACACCAGCAAAAAAAGGGTGAGCTTTAATTTCCTCACTCCCAGCCATTCCTGAGCCCAGTCTTTCATTAGGATTGTGACACAGAAGCTGGAAAATAATCAGTTCAAACAACAGGTCAAAGATGCACTATCTGCACAAATAAAAGGATATAAAAGCACATACATAAAGTGAGAACAAGGAATGGTCAAAAAATTTATTTAACAATATGAAGCATCTTCTTATTTTCATTAGTCTAATTCAATGGTTCTTAATTAGCAAGACTTGCTGAACCATATTATTCTTTAAAGACCTGCTATGGTCCCCATATTTTTCAAAAGCCATATTAACTTATAATTTATACAATCATTATACACCAAAATGCACTATGATGGAGGTGATTGTTTTTTTTTGACCGTTGCACATGTATGAACAATATTTAAAAAAACAATGCCATGTCGAGTGAGATTGGCGTTAAGTACAAATGTTGATGTGCCTGCCAATCAAGGTATGATGCCGAAGTCAAGTGTACACACATGTTAGTGTGGATGGTTCAGTCCTGTATGCTTGTACGCCAATCTAGCTTACCACAAAAAGGTAGGTAGGTAGTTGTAACCCGCCAGGACATCACACAAGCGATGTAAAACACCTGGTGACACAAAGTGCCACCATGCGGATGGGGATCACCCGTGGAGAGGTCCCAGAAACCACTTCAGCCGTTAGGCCATATCTATGGCTAGGCCATATCTATACCCCGGCTATATTCAGGGCCCCCAGCAAAATCCAGGGTATTGCTTTAAATAAAAAAAAAATTGCATAACACATGGGGACGACATTAACAGTTCCACAAAAAGCAAAATAAGGTGCTGAAGAAAGGAGGCAACCAGCCAGGGGGTACACCACAGCAATCAGGACAAAAGCAATAGGAGTTCACACTAGAGATGACATTGCAGATACAGATAATCTATTTCAAGTAAACAAAACAATTTATAAATATCAGTACTGCAAAAAACTGAATTCTAAAGTTAAGGTTTTGTTGTTGTTGTAAATGATATTATGAGCACCTTAAATTTGTTTACCGGACCCCTGAAGGTATACAAAACACCAATGGGAAAAACTAGGCTAAACAATGTGGCACTGGTAAACATGTCTTCCAACAGTCTGTTGTCTAGTATACTTTCAATTACTTCTGACACTGATATTCATCCACATCATAATGCAGAACTTCTTCTTCTTCTTCGCGTTCACCAGCTGTAAACTCTAACGGAAAGTTCTGGTTGTTTATCCACTGCTGGACTGCAGTCCTGTTCCAGAACCTGAGTGTTGCGTGTGCATCCGTTTTACAGATCTGACTCATTTGTATGCAGACTGCTGGTTCCTTGCCTCTCAGGCAGATGCACTCTGACTTCGAAGGAAGCTCCCAATTAGTTGACTCTTACAACATGCTTTTGGGTAGGCAGTGGGTCTATTCTTGTTTTCCCTATAATAGGGCCCCGGAACCCACACGGGGGAATGCAGAACTGTCTAAAATCTTCTCTCTTCGTCTACCTCTGACTCTCCTCCCCTTAAACACTGCTACCGTCATGACCTACTCTATTTCCCCCATCTCATGATATGACCAAAGAATGCTGTCTGTCTTATTCAGTTGCAGGTAGTCAGTTCTCCTTGTGAGTTAACTGCTTTCAAGATATCTTCATTTCACTCTTTATCTGTCCATTGTGTTCTCATCATTCTTCAGTGCAATCACTTCTCCAAATCTTCCACATGATCTGTGTGGGTTCCAGACTCTCAGTGTCGATGAAAAAATGCATGTTCTCAAAGGTGATTAATTAAGGATTCGCTGAAATTATATGTGTCAGTCAAAAGGCGACATATGGCAGTCTAATTGTAAACCACAATACAACATGCCCTGCCTTTTCCCCCTCAATTTTTATAAAGGGCGAAGGCAGAAGATGAAGACTGTTAAAAATGCATACATAAAGTGCTAACTGCAAGCAGATTAGAAAACCAACAAATTAAGACAAATGACTCACCCCCTGCAGCAGTGCCCTTGTTTCACTAGATACAAATGCCGGAATGTGAAGACACGTGTGAGAGTTAATCCCCTCTGGATGGCACTCACTTAAACTCTAGTAAGAAAAACAATGTGATACAAGTGGAAGTCAATAAGAAATTCACAAATGGTTGTTGAAAAAAAAAAAAAAATGACAACAACTTGAAAACTTAATTTTTACACATACACTGACCCTTTTTTTTCCCAACATAATTTCCACAAACATTGATGCACTTGTCCCATCGTTTTATCAGTACTTCCAAACCTGCTGCATAAAACTGCGTGCTCTGTTTTTTAAACCACATTTTCACTTCACATTTAACTTCTGCGTCATTCACGAATCCAGAAGTTCCCATCCTAGATGGTTAATTTTCTCCTGAGTTAACTGAGCCATATTACATTTGGCATTGTCATGAAGGAGCTGTACTCCTTTAGTCATCATTCCTGGTTGTCTTCTTTGAACTGCTTTATGAGGCATCAATAGAACTTCATAGTTTGAATCAGAATTCACATTCTCACTTTTTTTTTTAACAAAATGATTAAAAGCACTCTTTGACAATCCCAGCATAACTTTCCCTGCTGATGGTGTAACCTTGATGTTTTCATAAAGTTCTAAAAATTGTTTGGCCTCATATTTTCAGGACTTGGTTGACTACACTAGAGGGATTATGGTTATAAGGCAATAAGTCCATCTCTGAAGAGAATTGAAACCAGACCACCATTGTTAGGCAAAGGCACAAAGTAAACATTACTGGTCCAAAATACAGTAATTATAACAATAAACAAAAAATTAATCAATTACATGCTAAAAATAAGTAAAACATTTTCTTTTGTTTAAAACTTACTTTGCCAACCACCAGTTCATACAAGAGTGCTCCTATACTCCACCAGTCGCAAGATCCATCATATTTGTTGACTGAGCCCACTTCTACAAGGGAAAAACCATAAAAGGGAACAAACTTTTGGTCAAGAGAAGCAGAAATAGCCAGCTCACTGAAATAGCTTCAACAATCACCACTCTAAATCTTTCCACACGAAAACAACCCACCCTCCTCCTCCTCTCTCCTCGTATAATACACACAAGGAAATAAATTAATGTGTTATTTCTTTAGTGCACAAGGCTGGCGGCTATTTTATTCATTTCATATACACAAATATACTATTTTTCTTCTCTCTCACACATACTCAGACACAAAAGCTGCTATTTCTTTACCTTTCACTCTCACTGATATATAAGGAGACCACTGTTTATCTGCCCTTCCATCTTTCCCCTATCTCTCTGCCCTCACATCCATAACAGGTTAGATGCGTATCTTTTACAGGATGTTGCAGAACCAACCCCAGCAGCCAATGGCTGTTGTGTGGTTTCTCTAGGCAAATTTACATACAGTAATTTACCATTGCTTTCTGGATGGTCGGCCCCCTGATACCACTGCGAAAACCAACGCAAGGCGCATGGCCCGTAGCTGGGATCTAACCCGGCACTCCGGCATTACGAAGCGTTCGCATCGACTTAGCCAAAGAGCCGATTTTTACATGCATAGCCTACTGTTTAACAAAGATGCAGATTTATAGTTGAGGATATGAAACACATAGGGGAGTCGCAGTGGCAAAGCAGCCAGATGGTCACCATGGATAATTTTTCAGAAATGACCTTGGCTCCTAGGTCAAACCAGCCATGAGTGGTTACCAGGTGCAGTCCTGGGAAGTAAATGCGGCCAGCGTGATGCTGACCACATCATCCATCTTGTGCCGATTGGTCTATAAAATATAGGCTAGCCCCATACGTTTAAAAGCGTGAAAAAGGGTCCTTTACTTTATTTACTTTATATGAAACAAATACTAAGAGTCACAGTAGCATAGTGGCTAGACGCTCGCCTGTAGATCCAAAAGTCTTTGGTTCAAATCAGCATTATGTCAGATTTTTTTCTCTTCAAAACTGACCTTGGTTTCCAGGTCAAAATAGCTTAAAATGGGCACCAGCTTATGTCCTGGGAAGTAATAGTGGCCGGCGTGATTTTGACCACATCACCCCCTGAACTCTGATTGGTCTCTAAATTATATTAGTCTAGCACCATACGCAAAATGTGCCACTTAGGAACCTTTACTTATTTACTCACAATAAAAAAAAAACCTGACCAAAAGAACAGTCTACTCACCAGGTGCAGCATAAAAATTCTCTTTTGCAGCCCAGTCAAATTCCTGTTCACCGTGCCCTAGGTTGCAAAAATAGGTCAAGAACACCTGGCCACCATCTCCAAGCAGAACATTGCTTGGTTTTAAATCTCTGTGACAAAGACACAACAGAAATAGATGACACCAGGCATATAACATACAGACCATCTCTGACAATGACACAACAGAAATAGATGACACCAGGCATATAACATACAGACCATCTCTGACAATGACACAACAGAAATAGATGACACCAGGCATATAACATACAGACCATCTCTGACAATGACACAACAGAAATAGATGACACCAGGCATATAACATACAGACCATCTCTGACAATGACACAACAGAAATAGATGACACCAGGCATATAACATACAGACCATCTCTGACAATGACACAACAGAAATAGATGACACCAGGCACATAACATACAGACCATCTCTGACAATGACACAACAGAAATAGATGACACCAGGCATATAACATACAGACTATCTCTGACAATGGACACACAACAGAAATAGATGACACCAGGCATATAACATACAGACCATCTCTGACAATGACACAACAGAAATAGATGACACCAGGCACATAACATACAGACCATCTCTGACAATGACACAACAGAAATAGATGACACCAGGCATATAACATACAGACTATCTCTGACAATGACACAACAGAAATAGATGACACCAGGCACATAACATACAGACCATCTCTGACAATGACACAACAGAAATAGATGACACCAGGCATATAACATACAGACTATCTCTGACAATGACACAACAGAAATAGATGACACCAGGCATATAACATACAAACCATCTCTTTTTAATTACTTATGCTCCTTTGGAATGTCTATGGTCGAGGCCATGTTCTCTTGTGCTTTATTGTTTGATTACTGACATGTTATGTTGTTGTTTGTTGTTTGCATTCACCGGTTGTAAATGCTGAAGGAAAGACCTGGTTATTTGTCCATTTCTGAAATTTGGTTTTGTTTCAGGGACTTAGTTTTGCATGTGCATCTGTTTTATAGATCCTGCTTATTTGTATGCAGACTTGGTTCCTTGCCTCTCAAGCAGATGCACTTTGAAGGAAGCCCCTAATTAGTCGACTCCTGTGACATGCTTGTTGGGGAGTCGGTGGGGCTATTCTTGTTTTCCTCACAACAGGACCCCAGAACCCTTACAAGGATGACCTCTTATTAATAGTAATCATCATCATCATAAAGCAGCATGGCTTTCACAGAATGTCGCTCTCATTAACGTCTGACTAAAAGAAACTCAGTCTCTTGCCAGCTCTTTCCTCTTGTGCAATTTCCTACCCAGGATATCTCCATGCTGGTTGGCCTCTGCTCCTCTTTCCTTTTACCATGCCTACTGTTATTATTCTTTCTAATCCACTGGTGTGCTTGAAATATTTCAGTTTCTGAGACAAGACACTGTTTATGAGCCAATCTTCCTTGATGTTCAGATCTTTTAGAATGTCAATTTTTCTGTTCTATCACTCATAATACTGACTAAAATTCAAATTAACACAATATTCAACTGGTTCACTCAATGATAGAAAGGATACAGAGCATACAAAATTGACCTAACTATTTTAGCCACTGCTGCAATAGGCACTTTTCTGCTAGTCATTTGTACAGACCAGCTGAAACTTAACAGATGATGTGGTGAACACACCAACGGCCTTCAGTTCCCAGGACATTTCCTGTATCAACTGTAGACTAGGTTAACCTGCGAGTTAACCTTGGCTCCCAGGTCAGCACAGCCCAAAATGGGTGTTAAGCAATGTCATGGGAAGTAAGGGCAGCCATCATGATGCCAGTTAAGAGTTAAGAACCAATGTCACAGAACTCAGGACATTCTAAAAGTACTCGATCAACATCTTAAACAGCAAGCGCAGAGATCAAATTCCAATGGTACCAGTAACAGTCTGACTGTATGTGTCCGTCTCACCCCTTCCCTAAGTGGTGCAAATAGGTCTTGAAAAAAGGATTATAGCATCATATGACCCCCCTTCCCGCAAAAAAAAAAAGCCCATTACTGACCCTGATGTGGATTAAAACCCAGTACTTCTGACCAATTTGGCATGTTGTGCTGTGGTTTACAACTAGGCTGCGACAACCACTAATTTGAGCCCAACACATTGAAATTCAGCAAAACAACAGTTACTTTTGATGACATGATAGCTAGACAGCAGTGGATCTATTTTTTTCCCTAGAGGCCCAGAACCAACAGGGAAGGGCAGGTATTAGCCACTGTGATCTAATTTTCATTCAGTTTGATATCTTTATTTCTTTCCATGATATCTAGCCTCTGTATAATTCTTTAATTGAATACTTTATATATTTCCAAATAGATACTAAGGCTATGTGCATGCACTTATTTTCTTTATCCTACAAATAACAGAAAATCTTCTTCTTCTGCATCTTGCATTTGTACCTAAAATGGGTGACTGGCGAACTGTTGTGTCTTTAGGTGGTGTCCGTGGTGAAGGGGTCAAGCCATTCGCCTTACGCTTGGAAGGTTGTAAGTTCATCTCATGGCTGTCCCATGTGCAATTTTTATGGAGATCCTTGGAGACAGTACTAGAGCTATGGAGTTCGTGCTTTGTGCAACTCTTGGCAGGCGGCTAGCTGCTGTTGTGAGAGAGACCAGCCATAGGGGATAAAACTGGGTGCAATGAGTTCAATCCCCCCTTAACTTTTCAACCTTTTAATACTGTATTGTGATTTACAGATAGGCTGTTATATTAACACATCCAACATACAGCAAACTGAATTGCATTTTACAACATGCATGTAAGAGGCGGTGGGGTCTATTCTTGTTCTTTTCTTCCAAAATTGGCTCCTGGAACCTACACAGGAAATACAGGGTAAACTTAAAAAACTAACAATAACAGAAACAACAGCATAAAACCTTAATGGAAAATCCAAAAATGAAAGAACAATAGTCAATTTAAAAAAAAAAAAACTTTACCACCTCAAATATCACTTTTTAGGATGGTGTAAGATTGGGGGGATGATTGCTTGAATGTAAGCATTTGGTACTGCATGACTGGTGCAGTCACCATATACTTTGCCAGTTAGGCTGTTTGATTCTGCCCCCACCTCTTGTGGGTTCCAGGGGCCATATTTTGGGAAAGAGGGGGAAGAAGTGATCCACTGCCTCCTGATGGGGCATGTAGTAAAAAAGGATTTTTCCTCCAAAGTCAAAGTGCATATGCCTGAGAGTTGAGGAACTAATAGTCTGCATACAAATAAGCAGATTGCAAAGTGGATGTGTAAGCAAAATCCAAGTTCTGGAAAAACACTAAAGACCAGAAGTGGACAAACAACGAAAACTTTCCACTGGAGTTTATAGCCGGTAAACATGAAGAAGATTTCTGCCCCTGACAGATACAAAAAAAATGCCATCCCCTTACTAAGGATTCAAACCTGCATCTCCTGCATGAGAGGCCAGAATTCTTACCCCTGGGCCACTAACTTCTCTAACAATAGTAAATATTGCACCACATTTTATATATCAACTATATTCAACACTTGCCTGCAAATGACACCCAATGAATGAAGTCTTGAAACTGCAGTTACCATCTGAGCAATCCACTTCTTGATTAAGGATTCTGGAATTTGAACTGTGTCTTTGCTGGACATATCCACCTGCTCAAATGAATCAGACACCTCTCTAGCTCTATTACGTAAAGGAGACCGGAAGTCAGACTCAAACGATGAAGATCGGGCCACACCTTTGCAACTCAAGTGGCTTAAGGATAACCTCTGAGGAGTGCCAGCCGGCTTGAACAGTGAACCCATGCTACCAGTAAAGCTTTGAGAATGATGTTTCCTGTTTCTGTCTAAGACAGGAGTAGCACTTAGCACTGATGAAAAAGGTGAAGTGTTCTTGGGGTAATTATCACTTATATCTTTTGCATTGAGAAATTCAGCTGAAGTCAAGCTGTTCTGACCTTCCCCATCACACAACCTATCTGACAAAGTACTAGCATATATTTGGTCACTCTGCTGACTTATGTTATCCTTGGAAGACTTCTTGGTAACATCTACATATTCTTCAGTGTTGTATGAAGTCTGACAGGGAGGTTTGATTTGCGATTGAGAACAACTAAATCTACTATTGATTTCTTCAATAACTTTGTTCTCATCTATAAGAATTTCTTGTGATTTTGTAATGATGTCTTCAGAATTGTCGTCAATAACAGCACTTCCAGTAGCATTGACTGTATAAACATTGTCCCCATAATTATCTTCATTCCTGGAAAGACAAAATGCTGTATGAGAGCTACTCTGGTCTGAGGACATTTGTTCTGGTGAGTTCCAATGTTCACTCACTGCTAAAATGTCATTAACTTTCTCACACACTGAAACCCTGTGATCTGTGTTAGAGCTGGCAGCACTGTTGGCTGAAAATGCATAAGAAGGTGCTAGATTCTTCTGCAGGAAGCAATGAAAGCTCTTGTCATCTGGTAATGAGACAGGTGATATCACACTGCTGTCCTGCTCACTGACAGATGCACACTCATCTGAAAAACTTGAAAACGTTTGGAGTGCAGAAGAAGTTTTGCCATTTGATGGAGCCATCTCATTTGAATTTGAATCAGTAAGAATGTTCTTATCTTCTAAATCACAATTCACAGAATTCAACTTAGTAAGAATGTCCCTTCCATTTAAACTACAACTGCCCTTCTCTTCATATGCACCCCTAAAACTGTCAGTATAACCAGAACTTTTCGCTGAATAAACTGTTGCATCTACATTACCAATCTCTGAACTTAGCTCTGAAATTCTCAAAGTATCAGAACATTCAAATAGTTGTGCTTGCAAACTACTTCCCAAGTTCTGATCAACACTTCTTGTTTCACCATTTGTTATCACATCCTTCGAACTGGAATATCCTTGCTCAATGTTTTCACTTCCGTGTGCTGTTTCCCACTTGTTTTCTGCATACACACATCTAGCATCTTCAGAATTCACTTTTTCTTCACCACAATTGGCTCTAACATTTTTCTCACCATACAAATAATCTCCTATATACGTCCAGAGCTTTCCTCCACTTGCATACTGAAGAAGTAAAAACACAGAATCCTCTGTTTCAAAAAACCTATGCAGGCTAACCATATATGGACATGATGTGGGCAGAATACTTTGTGCAGATCCAGTATCCAGTGTGGATTTTGGGATAGACTAGGGGAGACAAAAATTGATAAGTTAATATATATATAGGCACAAACATCGATTTTCAGCTGCCGTGGCATAGCAGCTAGACGTTCACCTGTGGATCCAAAGATTGCAGCTTCAAATCCGCATAGAGCCAGATTTCTCTAAAATATGACATTGGCTCCCAGGTCGGCACAGCTTTAAATGGATACCAGTTCAAGTCCTGGGAATTAAAGGTGGCTGGAGTGATCGGTCACATCGGGGTCTGATTGGTCTATAACAAAAATGAGTCTAGCCTCTCATATTACCTATGTACCACTGGTATTTAACAAGGCCACCGAAGCAGCACCAAAACCCACTGCAAAGCCACCCCAGGCAAAAACTGCTAGTCCTTTTTAGGGCTAGCAGACCCCCTCTCTGGACACAACAACCAGCCAATCAGAACCACCTCAACCTGCCATGACATCAGAGCAGCCATCCCACTGATCCAGAACGCAGCTCAAGACCAGCCAAACATGAGACTACCAGAACAGCTAAACAAAAAACCACCACAAAACAAATAGCGAATGACAAAAATCACACAACATAAAAGAAAACCTGATCCAAAGACAACCCAAACTGTCTCTACAAATATAACGGAAAAGGGCGGAGATCAGCAATGGTTTATGACCCTTAGCTAAACGTGGACATGGTGAAAATTGAATTGAATTTAGTCAATTTCAGTCAAAACTACTTGGTCTAGCCGGAATAATATATAAAACAGCACATCTTTTAAAAATTATTAGTTGAGCCACTATTGATGACTGTTTCAGACAGAAGCAATGTGAAATGCATCAACTGCAGCTGAGTTGTCAAAACACAATGAGACATTGATGTTTCTGTCTAGTTATATCACTGTCTGTGGAGTATGATGTCACTGTCGGTGGAGTATGATGTCACTGTCGGTGGAGTATGATGTCACTGTCGGTGGAGTATGATGTCACTGTCGGTGGAGTATGATGTCACTGTCGGTGGAGTATGATGTCACTGTCAGTGGAGTATGATGTCACTGTCGGTGGAGTATGATGTCACTGTCGGTGGAGTATGATGTCACTGTCGGTGGAGTATGATGTCACTGTCGGTGGAGTATGATGTCACTGTCGGTGGAGTATGATGTCACTGTCGGTGGAGTATGATGTCACTGTCGGTGGAGTATGATGATTAAAGGCTCTTTAAATGCAACATCTATTTCGTCATTTCTGGATGATATTATCTGTGACTGCTGTCACTTGTCATGTTTTAAGTGTGCGCTTTGAGGTGGGAAAAAAAAGGGGGGAGGGGGAGAGGGTGGCTGACCAGTTTTAGTTTCTGTTCTGACAAATATTTTCATTATTTCAGACACACAAATTAAAATTAGGTTGGATTCTTTGATCAAAGTGAGTGGTCTCTATAGAAACAGAAACACTTTTACAATCACTTTTTCAAGTTCACCAGCTGTTAATTCTGGCAGAAAGTTCTGGTTGTTCACCCACTTCTAGACTGCAATCCTTTTTCAGAACCTGAGTGTTGTGTGTGTATCCGTTTGACTAATCTGACTCATTTTGTGCAGACTGTTGGTTCCTTGCCTCCTAGGCAGATGCACTCCGGCTTCGAAGGAAGCTCCCAATTAATCGACTCTTACAACATGCTTCCAGGTAGGCAGTGGGTCTATTCTTGTTTTCCCTATAATATGGCCCCAGAACCCACACAGATAACAAGCACTTCTTCTGAAAATTCTAAATTTTTTTCTGATTTTATTTGCATGCATGCATTTTATTCCCAAGTCTCTATTTTATTTTCCAATTATATATTGAAAGTTTCTGCTTCAGTATAAGACAACAGTGTTATTTCTTTACAAAAAACATTCAAAAAATTACCTTAATCACAAAGGTCTCATCTGTGACCTTGTGTCTCACGAGAATCACTTTATCAATTGTGCCTAAGACCTGAAAATTGCGCAATTCCTTAGCAGATCCTCTGATAAATGCAAAAGATGGATCTAGTGATGGTGAAAGAAAGCTGTCCATCTGTAGAATAACAAATTAATAATGACAGTTACAATAACAGTTTCTCTTTTTACTGAATAATAAATCAATCATAATGTTAACAAGTAGAAAGTATTGTGACTGTATAAAAAAAAACATAACAATAAACACTTGCAGCATGAGATGCCTGACAAAAGCTGTCAACTTAACCACCCAAGACTGGGTGAGAAAAGATACTGTTAGGTGGATTACAGGAACGACGCTGTGTCAAATAAATTGAGAAACAAGATCAAACAGTTTGGACATCACATCTGAATGCATCACATCAATATCAGTTACAGAGCCACAGTAGTGTAGCGGCGCAGCACCTGACTGCCAGCCCAAAGGTGTAGGGTTCAAATCTGCACTGAGGTAGATATTTTATTTCAAACCTGAACTCAGCTTCCAGGTCAGCACAGCCTTAAATAGGTAACAGTACTCTGGGAAGTATGGGCGGCTGATATGATGGTGATTACAACACCCGTTAACAGCTCATGGACTGCTACTCCCTCCGAGACCAGACAAGTGGAACACCTTGTACAGAGGAAAAGAACAGCTTGTGAAAACATGCAAATTCCACTAAATGGCACTGGGCCAGAGGGCAAAAGCTCATGCGACGCTGGATCGATAACAACAACAACAGTTAACAGAGCGATATGACATGTGCACCAAAGGTTATCAACACATACACTACATCCAGGAGTAATTGACACCATAGCAAGAAAGCACTCAAGAAGATGCACTGATGACACCCAAGACATTGTTCACTCACAGAAAATGACAGTAGCAACTGCCATCCATTAGGCATTGGAACATCAACCAATCATCCAGTAGACAACAAAAGTGGAAGATGATGATAATTCTATGGCAGGCATGAAATAGTTTAACCAATCAAATATATTCACTAGTGTATACATGTCAAATTAATCAATGCACTGGTTAACCAACACACCGATGCTAAGCTGTTTAACAAACATACAGATGTCAAGTTATTTAACCAATTTACAGATGCCAAGTCGTTCTATCCTTCACCATTACATGGAGCTCTCCCCATGTCCTCCCCATCTTTCTAACCTCATTTTCCATGTGTTTTTTGGCCTTCCTTTATTCCTATGTCCCTGTGGGTTCAAATGCAAAGACATTCTAGTTATGCTGTTCTCCTGTTTTCTCAGTGTGTGTCCTATCCAACGTCAGTGTCTTTTCCTCAACTCTTGGTCCACTGGAGCCTGTTTAGTTCTCTCCCAAAGCTCTACATTAGTTATTCTATCATACCATTTAATTCCCTCTATTCTGTGCAGGCACCAGTTAATGAATGTCTGTAATTTATTAGTAATTGCCTTAGTTGTTCGCCATGTTTCCGCCCCATACAAAAGTACTGATTTGACATTAGAAATAAAAAATTTAGGTTTAGTATTTCTTTTAATTTCTTTTGACCTCCACAAATTCCCTAGTGCTATGAAATCTCCTCTTGCCTTTTGGATTCTTATTTTAATATCTCTATCAGTTCCTCCCTCTTTATCTACATTACCAGCACTCAGGTGATTTGGTCAAAATAATGCTTGCTACCTTTACTTTTTCAGAACCCTTTCTGGTAGTCATTTCTGGAAGTCCAGATCAATTGTAATGGTTAAAATTCCCCAAAGAAGGAGCATTTAAACACATGACCAACAGGCAAAATTGCTGGTCTCTGTACTAGCATGGCTGCCATTTGATGAAATGCTCTCTATAAAAGTTAGATTGCATGTTTTTTGCACACTTTCATGCAGCTGCATAAAAATACTTTACAGAAAAGAAGAAACAAATGACAATTATTAGGCTTCGGACAAGACTAGGTTAGAGCACACCTACACAAAACAGCCATAAAACAGTCTGCCCCCTGTGAATGCCAAGTTGACTCCTGAGTGTACAGCACAACTGTTCTAACTAGTCTTGGCAGAGGTTGGGAATCTGGCCCAATGGAGCCACATTACTAGTCAAGCTGTGGGAGCTCTACGGCGACCTTAAAGAAACCATCATTTTTGTGACCCAAACGAAAACTAAAATGTTTAGCAAGGCTGATGTCAAATCGCAGAAGAAGTTGGCAATTTCTTGAAGACAATAATCATACATTATCATATGATGAATTACAACAAGTTAACAATAACTGACCCCCCATCTCAGTTCACCGATGTTGTCATCTGCTAGATGTCTGTTATAGAGGTCCTCTGCCTTCATTAAATACTGCGCTGTTTTCCTTCTCACTGCATCTCTTCTATATTTATTTGTGTCACCTAAAAAGAAACAAGAGTGATGGAGTTTTCCACTAATCACAATGTGAAATAATAGTTCTCAGTAACATTAAAATATATGTGTAGTTTTTAACAAAACTTTACTGCAGAAGTAAATAAGTATCACAAGATCCATGTACTGCTCACTAGAGTCCCTTCTCTGGAACCCAGCTGTACTTTCTAGAAAATTTCCTGAAACCCATTTTAGGCTGTGGGAGCTGCAGTGGCTGGATGCTAGCAAACTAGTCCGAACATCTAGGGTTCAAATCCACACTGAGGCAGATATTTTTCAAAGCTGACCATGGCTCCTAGGTCAGGCCAGCCTATAATACCAGGTAATGTCCCTGGACAGGAAAGGCGGTCAGCATGATGTCATCTATTGAGTGCAGTTTGGTCTATAGAAATATATCTAGCCCTATATGCCAAAGGCATTAACATGGTCCTTTACTTTTTTGTAGTAGGCCTGGTCATCTTGGCAGCCATGGAACAATTTGACAAATTTTTCCCTTAAGATTCAAAACCATAAACATTAGGCTAACAGGCAAGCATGTTAGCCACTGCAATACAATGGCTCCAGAGTTGTCCATTAATGAAACATTAATTATGTGACTGTATTTCTAAATGTTTTCAAACATACCTTGCACTCCATGGAGAAGAATTCCCACACCACTTTTGTAATATGCAAAAGCCACCTCATAGTTTCCATTGGCTTGACTATTCTGAGCCTTTGATATCTGGTTTGCCGCCCGGTAAATGTAATCATCTTTTCCTATGTTGGTGAGGAGTAAGTTCGGAAAGGTATTTGAAAAAAAAAAAACCTATGCAACATTCATATGAAAATGAAAGATAGGCTTTTAAAATAGCACAATTTCAACTAAATTACTTGTGTATTATTAGAAGTCTCTTTCAAGAACAACCCATGTACAGCCGACTGCAGAAACCCTAGAAGGCTAGACTAAAGAGAACTTGTTTTATTACAAAAAATGCCAAGCTCGCTGTCCTTAACAAGATTAAAGTCCCAATCGGACATAAAAAAGATGCTTTTCACTGGAGTTTTACATTAAACAACGACCCCTGCCCCGCTTGGCTTAGGGATAGCTACCAACTGATCAGAATTCCACTGTAACAGGGGTCCACCAAATCATCAATGAGCAGCATGATATGAAATCAACCTACAGAAGGAGAGATCAATAAGACTTTAAGCCACTGTCACCAGAGTTGGATTCGAGTGTATAAGATGGTTCAGCCAAGAGAGCAGTAAGAGACGGAGGAGGAGGAATGATACATAGAATGCCCAAATGGTTTTCAAACCAGGCTGTCCAACAGGTTCATATTCCTCCAATTAACAGAGCAGAGGCAGAAGCACTTCTAGCCGCATGTTCTTTCCTGAATGGATTGACACAGCAAATATAGCAGAGTGGTCTTTTCTGACTGATGCTATGTCAGTTCTACAAGCAATTGTTAATCCAAATCGGGTTTATATGACACCACAGTTTGTAGGGTATTGACGGCCAACACGAGCTGATTACTTAGGCTCTTCAGTAGAACAATCTGTACTGAGTGGATTCCAGGTCACAATGTGGATTGGAAGGCAATGGAAATATCGGACAGATTGGCCAGAAGCGGCCAGTGACATGGTACAACCAAATAGCAACTTAAAACCCACCAAAGAGATGAAAAATCTAATACAATCTAGTATCCAAGAAAGGTGGCTGGATACCCACAACCAGATTTTCTCCCCAAGACTCACTTCATCGCCTCTCTAGAGAGGGACAGTGTATTATATACAGACTAAGGACAGGGCACAACAGATTTCGTCAAACATATGTTCAAATTTTTTGGTATAGGAAATACGGAGACGTGTCCCTGCAGCGTGGCACCTGCTCGAAAATGCTGAGCCATGTGCTCCAACATGCTGTCAACTGTATGCTGACAAAGATGACGCAATCTGGCATCTGTTCTCTAACCACACTGAAGACAAAACCTCCATGGTCACACGAGAGGATATGGATTGCACGATAGCTTTCATAAAGGCTACTGGCCTCCTGATATAAATTTTCTGACAGAAGGATCGAAGAAGAAGAAGAAGATTAGAAGTCTGTGTGCATCTGTCTAAGAAATAAACCAACAATCTGCTTACAAATAACTCCGATCTGTAAAAGGTGCTGCATACAAAACTTAAGTTCTGCAACAAGATTAAAGTCCAGAATTGGACAAACAAAATGAAAAAAAAACTTTTCACTGGAGTTTACAGTTGGTAAACAATAAGAAGAATAAGAAAATACCACAAATATAAATACAAAGATACTGATCAGCATTCACTGAAGTAGGGGTCAGATGACACCTTCTTTCTATACAATCCATGATGTGCAGCACTGGTAATGGTATGTTCTTAGCCTTCTATCACAAGTACTGTCAATCTTTTCCGACACAAATCTTCATCTGTGACATGATGCCAAACTGCCTACCATCTTCTTTCAAGGTCTTCCCTTCTGACTAAATTCCTCTTTAACCTTCCTACTGCCCAATGCTCCCCAGTTCTTCCCCTTTCATGATGTGCCAAAAGAATGTGGATTTTTTTTTTTCAATGCCTCCTCTTCAGTTTCTGATTGAATGAATGACTTGAGAACAAGAATTGGACATCACAGGCACTTGGGGCTCCATTCCCATGCATGATCCTGTCTCATCTTCAGCAGCCAGGGCAGAGTTCCAATACTGATGGTAATGGTCACAATCTGGTTATATGTCCATCTTGCCTTTCCTCTGAGTGTAGTGAGCCGGCCAGACCCTCTGGTTACATGAAGGTGCCTTATTGTCTCCAGTCCATAATAATCTTCTTTCTCTACTGATTCTGTTGCTTGTTCCCAAAGGGCCTTGACCACATCTGCCTTGTCATGTATCAATTCACCACCCAGTGGTGCAGATCCCGCTATTCTGTCTGCCTGTTCATTACCCACCATGCCGGTATAGCCTGGAGAAAAAATCCAAAGTATGCTCGCTACCCACGACCTTTCCAGTGAAGCTTACCACTCTGCTCGAAGCATCCCTGTCTCCATCTTTCTCAGCATGCTTTCAAAGTCTGTTACAAATATGACATGTGTATGCATCTTGTTCTCTATCCACCTGAGAGCCGCAGTTACCGCCTCCACCTCCATTCTCATGCTAGATGTTTTCATGTCATATGCTTGGCTGTCTTGCACTAAAGATTTTCCATTGGCTTTTGCTGCGAACCCCCAGGCACTTCTCTTTCCTCTCAACGCCGAACCATTCTCTGTGTAAATTAACTGGATGTCTTCTATACACTTGTTATCTATCCATGCTTTTCTACTCACTCTTTTATAAATCATCTTTGCAGAATCCACTAAATTGTTAAATAATCGGCTAATTGTCTATAATTCACATGTGCACATTAAGATTGGTTATATAGCTTTTGAGAACTCTCTTTCTCACCTCGGCTGACAAAAACAGATAGCATACAATATTCTTCCTGAGGTGGAGGACATACCAGACAATAAAAAAATGAAATCTGTAGGCAGCAGCAGATTCTGAACCTGAAACTTTAAAGTATTTAAATCACCTCCCTGAAAGAATGAATGCATGACTTCAACTTACAGTCAACTTTTTCTTCTGCAAACCTTGTGTGAATCTGTTCAAGACTTGTTGGATTTTGGGTTACTGGAAACTCCTTTCTCTGGAACCCACTTTTTACTTCCAGAAAATGTCCCTGTACTCATTTTAGGTTGTCTCAGAATGTATGACTTAGGCCCTTAGCCTTGACTGGCAGCTGACCTAAAAGGGAATCTCTAACTGGCACAGAGCACTACTTTTCTGAATCTGCAGCATGCACTTTGTTTCACATACTGGTACCACCTTTCCCTTGGAGTACACAAGGTATGCCGAGAGAGGGATCAATGTGCATGGGCAACTCATGGTCTCTACAATCGTGCTATTTTTAAAATCTTTTTTTTTTTTTTTTTTTGCAGTTGAGTGGAGGAGCTTCCTCTTAGGCTTTAACTTGTCTGTTCACACACGACACTGCCAGGGGCTGTTTGTTATGTCTTTTTAAACAGCCAAAATATTATCTCTTTTTTAATTTATTTCACCAACTTCCTTTTCACCACAAGTTTTTCAGAACATCTGTATTTTACTCTTTTTGTTTCCATTAAACCTATTCTTCTGCAGTGATTCATCATCATCATGTGCCCTGCCAACTGGCATAGACCCTCATGCATCTCCACAGATCACAATCCCTGGTTGCCTGGAATAGCTCTCTTGACGATATCCCTCCATGCCATTGTTTCAGCCCATCTAGCATCATCTCTATTGGTCTGCTTCTACTCCTTTTTCCACTGATCTTTCCAGTTGTCACAATGTTCTCCAATGTCTCTCTTCTCATTATGTGGCCAAAGAACAGTGTTTGTCTCTTTCTTATTGTTGTATACAGAGACCTACTTTCATTAGCTTCTTTCAAGCAATTATTGTTAGTTACTCTGGCCGTCCAAGGTATTCGTATCATTCGTCTCAGAAACCACATCTCTGTTGCTTCCAAATTTTTTTCTAATTTGTTCACTGACGTTCCAAGATTCGCTGCCATACAGCAGAACAGGTTCTAAGTAACATTTTAGCACCCTCTTTTCTGCAGTAACTAAAAAATAAAATGACAAACAGTTTTTGTTTTCTAATCTGATCGTATAACTTACCACCAAGGCTCATTGTTGAAACACTCTGTTCTGTTACTGATCTTGGTCTGTTTAATACAGACATCCCAGAAACTAGACTTTTCAACAAGCTTTTAGAAGTCTGTGTTTGTGTCGACTTTTGACCTAACACCTTTGAAGAGTCCTCTAACATGTCAGATTCAACACTCCAAGATGTTTCAAATGAAGACCTGAAGGTGTTATTCAAATCATGTGTCTGAGTGAACGCAACATCCTGTGACCTGCATATAGCATTCACATAATAACTTCAAATTAATAAAGCATTCTAATTAAAATAAAAATGTAAAGTCGGGAGATGTAAACCAGCGTCCTTGCACACGCTTATAAACCTGCAGTACAGACAGCTGATAAGAAACTGTCCGCCTGTGTTGCCTTCAGCATGCAACTCCATATCTACAGCGACGTTCCTCCATTTACCTCAGAGTGTTAACTCTGGTACCCATTACATAGATGGATATGAAAGCGAGTCTCCTATCAACTGCGCTAACGCCACCCCAATTCTGATAATACATATGTACACAAGGAACACAGGTAAACACACTTATCCAATAACTTACGGGCAGAAAACTAACTTTGTATAAGAACAATAAGGAGAGAGAACTCATGATAGCTGCCGCACTGGAAGACTAAGCACGTAAAGGGATGTCTAATGTGTGGTGACGGCGATAATAATAAGATAATATAGCTTAAGTTTTGTTAACAAACTGCTGTATAAAAAATCCAGCAGTTTGAATTCTCTGCATGGAAATTGCGATATTTTACAGCAACATTTTTTTTCAAAGAAGAGGTTAACTTGTATTAATATTAACGTCTCAATTATCTCATGATGAATATTAAGTGAGGGGGATGGAGCTCAGAATACTAGCTGAGAATGGGGAAGGTCGCAACATGGTCAGTACCCGAAAACTGCGCTGGGCGTTTGTGCGCAGTTGAGCGCGGTAAAAATGATATGCACGTACTGAACGGGTAGATATGGGAAAACAGAAACGGCTGAGGGACAGATGTGCAGAGTGAGACCTGCTGGCATTGGTGTGTACAGACGCAGGTTTTCATTTCCAAGTTGTGGAGACTGATAGATAGTTCGGACTTTGTGCCGGTTGTTTGAGAGTTCTGCTTGCGTTGTTATGTATAAAGTCCTAAGTTAACAGCTCCCTGCTGTCGAGATTGATAGGGGCTACTATCAGACTTCGTGCCAGCTTATCCTTCAGAGATATACCAATCCTGTACCGACATTTTCATGATGAAATTGTTTATTCAGTGTGAGCAGTGACTTCTTATAATAATGTTTGGTGAGCTATTAATCAAGTGTTTATGAGAGCGCTATTGGCTTTCCTTTATCATATCGTTGTTGTATGGTGCGAGAAATAAAGTATGTTACTCATGTTCCAACGGTCTCCTAGTACTTGAATCAAGTGGGCCTCAAGATATCATCAATTCCTAGACACGTGGTCGTTAGTTGGACAGTCACCAAAATCACAACTGTCACAGGCCAGAGGTACCAGCATAGAAAGGAGAGAGTTAATTTGATACGACTGCCAATGATCCACGAGCCACTTTCTATGTCCCTGCAGGCCGGATTTGGCCTGTGGCTCACCAGTTGAACACTCTGGTCTAAATTGTAGAGTTGTGTTTCTTTCATGAACTTCTTTTATCAAATATTATATGCATTTGTTTCTCTGAAGACAGAAATGCTACTGAGCTGCTGTACCAAACTCACAAACTCTATTTTTTATGGCACAGATTGTACTGTCTCCTTTCTCATGAAGAAGTATGTTAATGATCCAACGTTATTATCTTCTTCTATACGTCCTCTTTTACCGCTTTGGGTGTCGAGGGAGATATAAGGTCCTGCTGGCCCTGCTGGCTGCTTCAAACACAGACACATCATGGTGCTGTAGAGTTTCTCTGAGGTTATCTTCCCATCTTGTTCTTCCCCCACAATACAATGAAATATAATGAACTGTCAAAACCAAGCCTTATGAATATGATGAAATATAACAATTATATTATCTACCCCCCACAGAATAATAAAATACAATGGACTATGTGAAAACCTACCCCCATGAACTTGTAGTTACATCAGAGCCACAACTGGATGTTCTCATGTGTAATTCCACAGACAAATCTAGATCCCCTTTGCCACACTCTGTTTTCGAAGAGCCTGAACTCTGGAGTGCCTCTTTCACTGACCCACATTCCTCAACATCAATGCTTTTACCAACAGTATCATTCTTACAACTTGCTGCAGCACTTGGATCTGCCTGAAAGTTGTCCTGTGTTGAGAATGATGATGGCACTACTGATTCTGCATCAAAAGCTGGATCTCTGTTGTTATTTGAGGATTCTACTGTCATGAATTTTGTCGGCAGCTCCCGCACAAATTCACCTAGCAAAAAATGTTACAAGTAATACAGAGATAAAGTAATTTAGACAGAAAACAGTGTAATTCATCCAAAAGACACTAAAAATAAAAATTAAACAGTTTCTGTGTGTTATGAATCTAAAGTATCTCAAATACTGTTACAATGTGACAGTTTAATTATGTAACCTACAAGTGTTTTATTGTTTTATGTATGTGATTCAAACCCACCAGGACTGTACAACGAGCGACTGACCCCTGTTGGCACAAAATGCCACCATTCAGATGAAGATCACCAGGGCATAAGTTCCAGCAACCCTGTTCAACCGTTAGGTTATATTAGGGCCCCCAGCTACAGTCGGGGTGGGGCCTTGAGTCTGAGGATTTAGAGCTGCATGGCTGGTACAGCTGTGCATGTTAGGATTTTATTTTTGCTCATAACAAAAATAACACATGATGCTACTGAGGATTCAAGCCTGGGTCTTCAAAATAAGAGCCCAGCATTCTTAACCATCTGGCCAGCTGCTCCTCTTGGCAGTTAACCACATTAAATTTGTAACTGCCTGAAAAAGAAAACAAAAACAGCATCAAGATAACCTGATGATTGATGTTAAAGTGTCTTGGTCATATCCATGCACTGTCTCTTCTCAACAGCTCTGATAAATTCAACATATGACTTTCTTCTTCTTGACATTTTATCCTGATGTTAAATAAATGCCTGAGCCATGGCATTAAATTTGGTGAGCAGTTGTTATAACTATTTTTATGATGTAATTGCCTGCTCATCTGCACAACACAATGGCACATTTTTTAGTCCAAGGTTTTGTTGTCACCTTATGAGGTTTTCTAATCACTGCATCTATCAGCTTCTCAAAACTATCATATTAAAAGACAACACACTCTTTTAAAAACCATACTGGAAGGAACAGTTGAAGGCAAGTGAGCAAAAGCGTAGACAGTGATACAAGTGGCAGGAAAACAAAAATAGATGGTTGAACAGCAGTTTGAGAATGTGTACATCCAGGGGCAAAGGACAGAATATGTTGACGATCCTTTGCAGCCAACCTTCCGTGTTTAGACGGTACAAGATTGATTGATCAACTTCTCAGAATAAGTGTACAATAAACATTCTTACTTCCCTTCTATTCTTATTAGGACTGGATTTGCTATTTCTCCTCTGGGTGCTGCTATATTCATCTTTTTAGTTTCACATACGCTTTTGAAAATACACAGAATATTGAATTCAATAAACAAACCTTGACAACTATTTATTGTTTCAGATCCCATACCTGCACAAATGTTTAGACCCTCCTGCAGCCATTTTGTGCTTCCTGAAATGCTTTTTCCCATACCAGCCTTGGCAGAGCTTTGACTTCTGGTGTCAAAAGATGTTAGGTCTGCATCAGGTAGAGAAGATGCTGAAACCAAATCATCGTCTGCATCAACTATTTCATCTTCAGTGGATGAGCCCAAGCTTACATCATCTGCTACTTGTGGAAAGTTCCAGGTGCCTTCTAGAATGGTCTGTCTGCAACATAAGATGCGTGAGAAATTTAGAAACTTCACTAAACAGCAAAGCCAAATAAAGAAAAAGGTGACAAATTAAAAATGTTCTTTCTTAGTCATTCAACTTCAGTTAAAAAACACACACACACACATAAACTTACATTATGTGCTCTCTGAGCATACAACAAATTGGGAGAGAAAGGTGACGACTGAGGATATAAGAAAGGAAAAAGACATGTTATATGGAAAAAAGAGACGAACAAGGAAAACAGGTAAAAGAGAGGAAGAAGGAAAACACTGCCAAAATTAACAGATCTGCAACATGATGAAATGCCTCGCTTGAGACTTGTGGAGGACACCCTAATGAGCAAACAGAATTGCAAATTTATAACAGGTTAGGTTAGTTGCGTATCCTTTACAGGACGTTGCAGAACCAACCCCAACAGCCCTTGGCTGTTGTGTGGTTTTTCTAGGCAAATTTACGTCCAGTAGTTAATTTATAACAGAGTGATCTAAAATACCTTTCACCAACTGTCCCACTACTAGACATGTTCTCCTGTAACTGGTCATTGGTATTAAAATATTTATAATGAGTCAAAACAGGAAACATTGAAACAGATATAACTTACTCTATTTGTCCCTGTCCCAGTGCTTCATTCCCTTGCACCAAATGCACAGTTTGGTCATTGTTTTCATCGACAGGCTTTTCTGCTAACTGAGCACCTGGCCCAAGTTTGACTTTCTCCATGTTATCCAACTTGAGATGAGGCGGGGTAATGTGAGCTTTGGTATCTGCATCACCTTTCAATGGGCTGGATATAACATTTGATTTGGAAGATTTTGAACCCAGAAGTGATCCTCTTTTATTGAAGTCTGACTGGACTCTTCCTTCCTGATCAATTGACAAATTTACCACAATTAAAAATTAATACAAACGTTTGTTGCTTTCACAGATTTACAGGTAAATAATTTAATACTGCATTTAAACTTATGTACAGCATCAGTTTGGTACACATATTTGAGACAATAGCTCCCAAGTGACATACAATTTCAGGCAAGTGTCTGGCATATGAAAAGATTTAGGGTAATCACAGAAGCAGATACATATTCATTAAAAAAGCCAACATTAAAAAAAAAAAAAAAATTATAATTTGATTAGAAAGTAAGTGAAGTAAAGGACGCTCTTCCACGCTTACTGGGCATATAGGGCTAGACCTATATTTTTTAAAGACCAATCAGCACTTGGTGGGTGATGTGGTCAACATCATGCCGTTGATTGCAAAGTAGTATTATATAATTTTATTAAAATCAATAATTTAATTTTATTTTATTTCCTCTTATATGCAATACAATCATTTATGTATGTACATACAGATGATAATTCAATACACATATGGAGGTGAGTGGGGTGTGTGAGTGTGTGTGTGTGTGTGTGTGTGAGAGAGAGAAAGAATGAGAGAGAGAGAGCCTGTGTGGGTGGGGAGTAGGGAAAGAAACAAGTCTGCAATTCTGAGCCAAAAAAAAAAATATTTCTGTATATAGTGAATATTTTTTCCAAGAACCCTATTTATATGTTGTCTAAAGCATTCATCTCAAATTATATACATTTTGGTTCACACTCATTAACACCTGGTATAACTGGGATTCAAGATAAATGTTCCAGATTCTCATTAATCATGTCATAGATATAAACACACACTCATGGATAAAACAACTATACGGGGCACACACAGTTTAATTTATTATATAAACTTTTTTTTGTTCTTTACCACCATTCTCAAATTGTTATGATTATAAACAGTAGTTCACATTATGTTTATGAAATTCATTCTATATTTTCACCATGAAAGTAGTTTACTAGGGTAATCCTACAAATGAGAAGTAACTGGACAAAAAACACAACAGACTATTACTAGTAAGCTCAATGAAGAAAAAGACCAACACAAATATAACTGAACATTTTATCAAAAGACTAATCAAACAAATCGCAAGGTAAATGAGAGGAGAAAATATGGACAAGAGGAGCTTATTCAAAACAAAACACACAAGAAAGAGCTGGAAGAAGAGGCAAAGTACTCATTAAATAAATACAACTTAAAGTAAAAGTATGCTAAAGACATTCCTGAATTGCTGAGGCTATGAATGATATGACTTTCCTGGAAGAGGCGGCTGTTTTGATCTCTAGGATGATATTTCATAGCTGTAACAGAGACGTTGATCCGTTGAATGTAATAGTTTGTTTTGTGTTTTGTATTTACTTCTTCAAATCAGCTCAATTTCAGTCCTACTCATGTCATCAAATCAATTCCCCACCTGCGCTCACACACATAACACAGAAAACTCTGCCTGAAGGAAGATTTTAACTCACAACCACTAGGCTGGCATATTAGAAAACTAGCAACAACACTACCAAGATTTGTTTAAGGAGAATGGGGGAGAAATATAAATGTAATCAAATGAAACTTACTTCAAGAAAATGTTTAAATGTGTGGGATTTGTACAGATGTGGGCGAGTGCTGATAAAATTCAACAACTCCACAGCACTTTGTCTTCGCTTCTCAATGACATTTTCAGTAAAACGACCTGCAAGGAAAGGTAACAGTTTAGAAACTTTACGTAGCAATAATTTTTTTTTTTAGATCTCAACACTCACAAGAAATAAGTAGCATAAGCAGGGCAAGAACACAGACTTAATCATAGACTGGTGATCAGGTGAGATAGTGAATAATGACTGCCAATGCATCTCAACACTGCACATGAAGATGATGATGTTACTTACGGCATTATGATTTCACAGGCAAGCATCTTAATTCATGTAGCTAATTTAACCCTTTGAGTCCCAAGGAATGCATCACACAATAATCGGTTAATACAGGCCCAGCTTCTTCTTCATCTTGGTCAATAATCACTGTAGGGATGTCTTTTCAAGGTTTCCCCCAAAGCTTAGTTGTCAGTTCTACTTGTTGCCATATGTCGCTCCCGCAGCTCTGCCAGGAGAGGACAGTCTTGCAGGACATGTTTCTGGAGTCTGTTCAGCACGAAGACACTGCAGAGAGCTGTTTGGCTCATACCTAATTTATGTGAGTGTTTATTGAGTCTGCAAGTGCGTAAGCGAAAAAAACTGTGACTTGGTCTGTTCTGTTTAAATCAGAAAATCTTTTCAGTAGTGTTGATCTGCTGTTTTCTATAATGTTTTTTCTAACTGACTGCCTTCCTTGGCTAAAGCATGGCCTCCACAGTGAGACGGATAATTTCAATTTGACAACATAGCAAGTTCCTGTGTTAGACTTTGTAGTGTTCTGTCGGTAGGTTTGGACTGGGCCTGTATAGCTTCACAGTGAGAAAAACTATCCTGCCTGCGGTGCAGATTGTTCATATACTGCGCTGCCATCAAAAGGGGCTGAGAGCTCTGCCTTGTAGTTTAGAGCAAGTTCGTCTTGCTAGGGACACAGTAGTGGCATCTGGGTGTTTTTATGTAAACACCTGCCCCACCATTCGTAGTTGCCTCTTTTGCTGATCCATCCGTGTAAAGATTCTCGTCCACTGTCCTGTGGGAACATGTTGTTGAGGTGTTCCATTGTGAGTGCTTTCTTCACTAAAGCGGGCTCAGCATCTTTGTTTCCCAGGTTCGGGATGGACACATTGAGTGTCAATAATTCGGAGTCCCAGAGATCGAAAGATAACTCTTCAGGTGTACAAAACAGTGAAGAGAGTGACTTTCCAAATTCTTAGTTAGATGGTTTAGGCTTGTGCGCTTTATGTCGGTTTTTTTGTCCTGGCTGCCAATTTTTCGTGTAATGGATGGTTTAGCAATGCATGTAGAATTGCTTTTGTCCTTCTTCTTTCTTCTAAGGGGATGATGTGAAGCTGCCTTTTCCATTTCTACAATAGGTGTAGATTTTATGGCTCCCAGATTTGTACGCAGACTTCTATTTTGCGTTTTGTCTAGTATCTGTTTATTGGAATGGGCTGCTGTTATCCATGACGATGATGCGTATTCGAGAGTTGGTCTGACTGTGCCGGTGTATACCTGCTTCAAGATACAACTGTCTGCTCCCCAAGTGGTGCCTGCCAATTTCTTCATCACACCTTGTTTTCTCATAGCTAATCAGTGTGTGATGCGTTTATGTTTTTAACTGACCACTGGTCAGTATAACAAAACAAACCGGCAGTTCTGAATGGTATTTCACATTCTTTGTGTTCAAAGTCGCACGTGGTGACCATTTGGGGTATTCGAAACGTGTTTAGATCACAAAATGTAGCAGGCTTGCTAACTTTACCAAGTTACTGTCTGTGTGAAAACAATATGGCCTCCGAGCAGACTTCTTTATGCATGTCAACAAGATTTATAACTTTAGAAGTCTCGCATTTCGAAGAAAAAAAAACATGTGTTTATCAGATTTATCTGACACTAGACAAAGAAGGTTGTGAAGTAGACTTGTTTCAGCCACTGATAAAGCTAAACTTTGATGAGGGATAGCTCTGATATATACTTCACGCAAAACCTACAACGATAACAAAGTCAGCCTGTACAAAGAGAATAAAAGTGAAAAAAGTAATATTCGTCAGTGTCAGTTAGGTCTATTGCCATCCCCTTATGATTTCAGAACACAGGCTATAAAATTATGGACAAACTGAGTGTTATATAAAGTTCATTTTGTTGGGGTTAAAATACTAATATACTAATAAAGGTCATTTTTTCGTTACTAAAAAAGTGCTCTGTTAAGATGTTCTAAAAGTTTAAGCATTACTAAGTGGTTCATGTTCATTTGTGATTCATTCTGAATATATTTGATCGAGTTTTCCTTGACTGCCATTGTGGTAAGTGGAAAAATTATAAATTCTTTTTACTAATTTCTCTCAACATACGATCGGTTTATTTACTAATAATGAACTACTCACACAATTTAATTTTATCTTCTCTTCTTCTTCTTTGCGTTCGGTTTCGTATGTTCAGATCAGACCATCAGGTGGGTTGCCTCTATGAACTCGCATGTCAGCTGCAGGTCCTGCATGGTTCCCCATAGCTTGCTCTGCACACTTTGCTCTTGAGGCCAGTCTTTTCGAAGTTGCAGGTAGAGTGGGCAGGTCTGCAGAATTTGCTGAGGTGTTTGTGGTCCTGTTTGACAGGCACACTGTGGGGACTGTATAATCTTTTTTTTATGCATGTGGTAGTCGAGCCTGCAGTGTCCTGTTCGTAGACTGAAAATTGTTGTATGTTGCTTTCTGTTGAGTCTGCTGATGGGGTCTTGTGGATGTTTACTGTTTGTTTCTCCACAATCCCTTGCATTTTCCTTTGATAAGTGTTCTGATTTCTGGTAATGACAACGAATGGGCGTGTTGTTTCTCTTTTGTTCTATTTTTTGCAAGTCTGTCTGCTAACTCATTTCCTGGTATGATGCAGTGCGCCGGGATCCACTGGAGAATGATTTGTTTTCTGTGAGTCTGTTTAGCTGAATGGGTCAGTTCTTTTTCCATGTTGTCTCGTGGATCCCTATGAGTCGCCTGGAGGACTGACATGCAGTCACAACGGAAAACAATTTTGCTGTTTTTAATTTTATAGCAGTATTCTAATATTATTTCTGAACAATCCCTGGTCACTTTGATGCATAAAATGTGTATGTTGCGGGGTAGTTTAATTATAGTATGGTCTGTTTTAATGTGTAACTTTGTGACAGTTCCAAACTGCGTTACCACCCCTTGGGCCTCCAATGCTAAACTCCCGGGACTCTTTTTTTTTTAGTATCCAGAAGCCATGAGTTGTTAACCCTTAGGCTCGGTATTATGGATATCGCAACCCTGCAGCCTTGATTCCATGATAAATACTGTAAATCTGGGAGAAATGTGGCTTTTCTGCCTACCCCCGGGCGTGAACCCGGACCACAAGGAGTTCGTCACCCGGTCACCGCGCAATCCGGTTTAGCCAACTATGCTAACGAGCCGGGCTCCTGGGACTCAAATAGTTAAGAAGATGAAAAATACTTTATTATAAATAAATACAATTTAAACATGCCTGTTGAGTATTTACATGAATCCACAAAATTCACCATTGGGCAGATAATTACTAAATATTCACACCTTTATGAAACAACTGACAATATCCTTTTGAAATATTTTGTATTTTCAAATACCAAAGAAAAGGGGAGTTCCATAATTTTGCGGCAAACTGTGGGTATAATGTCTTTCTACTGTGAAAATCACTCTTCTAATAACAAATTTTAAATATTTCTAAAATATATATCATGTAGTTTAAATGCTAATTAAAAAAACAAAATATCATCTGAATGTTGGAGCACATGTTCACAAACAAAATCCCAATGAACAAACAGCTGTGAAAAACAACTTTTATAAAAAAGCTACAGGAGAACAGTAATAGATATAAAATAGTTGCATGAGAATGACAACAATCACAAAACAATTAACGAAGATCAATAACAATTACAAAAAGATTATATGAGAACATCAACAATGATAAAATAGCTACAGAAGAGCAGATAACAATACCATAACATGGAAGAAGCCACCTACCAAAAATTGTAGGCTTCACAAATTCTGGAAAAGGATCATTTCCATGCTGAGCTTTATGAAGGTTCATTAAGGACTTGTATAATAATTTAAAGTCATTATATCTTTTCCAACACACTAGCTGAAATAAAGAACAATGATACAGTAAGCAGATTAGTAACACAACAGTATTTTCCACATTTGCATTGTCTCTCAAATGAGTGTAAAAGGTAAAACAATAGATTTTTTTGAATGAAAAAAAAATAATGAACTGACGCCATTGCATTCAGGTACTCAGTCCCCTTCCTCAGTAGCCAACAAAGAGATTCGATACTCAATGTGCAGTTGCAACCTGATTAACTCTTTAAGGCCCTTATGGGCATTACTTTAACTCTGTATCTGAACAAGATTTTACTTAAACTAACAGATTCTTGGCTCTCAAGGAATTAAGAATATCTTGGGTAAAGAAAAGAACAAATGCATCCATACTTCAAGAGCTGAATATTGAAGAGGGTTGGCTAGTAAAGACAATAAAACAAAGAAAATTGAAATATTTTGGTCACTTGAAACGTCATGGAAGTCTAGAGAGAACAATAATGGAGGGGTATATGCCTGGGAAGATCCATCTCTCATGGTATAGAAAGAGGAAGGCCAAGGAGAAGATGGGTGCAGGATGTGGCAGATGATCTCCAGATGGGTGTATCAGACGCAGGACATCTTGCTCATGATAGGAAGGTTTTCCGGAGGGTTGTTATGGCAGCGAGGTTCCGCGAGGGACATGCTACTGAATGAATGAATGAAACTATCAGGCAAAAGAGCTAAATGAACAAGTTAGGCAGAATGGGTTAATATAACAAATGAATAGGAAAGTAAGACGGGAAATGGAAATTGACAAACGCACTTTGCGTTCTATGGTACTTGAAAGAGTTAAGAAGTGTGCCTGACCTTTCCCCTGAAGGTTGAAAATCATCCACTTTCTGCTGACTCCATGCTAAATCCATCTCTCAAGGTATAAAAACAATCTGAAACTGCTTTTGCACATTCTAGATCACTTCATGATGATGTGGAATTATCAGTTCCTTTTCTAACCTGAGCCCCAGAATTCTGAGCTGCTAGGCGTCTCTGAAGGCTGGAATAGACCCCTGAGCTGCTAGTTAAATAGCTGTGCCCTAGAATAATACTGTAAGTAAAGGACCCTTCCCCAAGCCTTCAGGCGCACTGGGCATATAGGGCTAGACCAATATTTTATAAATAAATTGGCACTCTGATGGCGATGTAGCCTTTACTTGGTACCCATTTAAGGCTGGGTTGACCTGGGAGCTGAGGTCATTTCTGACAAACGTAAGGCTCTGTCAGGACCTGAATCTACAATCTTCTGTGAGCATCTAGCCTCTAGACGATAAGGACTTTCTTACAGTCATACTGGTCAAGTATGCTACCAGTGCCAAACATAGAGACTTACTTTAACTAATGAGTGGACATTTATAACAGAGTTGAGATGTCTTAGAGAGCTGTCAGTGTGACAAGAAGAGATAAAATCAAAAATGAAGAAATTAGAATAAGACTAGGACTGAAACCAGTCATACAAGTTATTAAAAATCAACAAATGAGATGGTTTTGCTATCTGACGAGAATGCTCTGGTACCAGCTGCCACAGAGAGCCATGCTGAAGAAATATAATGAGGTAAATGGTAAGAGAGAAGAAGAAAAGATACTGGTCAAGAAAACAAATTCAGCCACAGGTGGGAAACTGAACATGGACTCCTGTCATGGTAAGTATGCACATCAGCCATTATGTAACAACAATTCCTAGATTTTGAGTAATTTAATTTCAATCCCCTCCCCCCTCCAAAGCCCCAACAGTTTAAAACCAAACAGACAAGACTATTATTCAAACACTCATGTCTTCACGCCAAAACTGAGATTTCCTTATTTATGATTTACTTTAAGGAATGCTTACCCTAAACTCTAGTAGTAAACATTCACACAGTCTTTACAAAATAACTAGACATTTAAAATGTAATATCAACACCTGGACATGGCTTGATCAAAGAATGTTTTCCAGCCCCCCCCCCCCCCTTTTTTGCTCACTTTGGGGGTAGGGGTGGGGTCAGCTAATCAGCTCTTTTCAAAGGGTTAATTTAAGACCACTTCATTACATATTTTCATCATATTAAAAAAAAACACACTTGACTGAAAATATGCCGACTGCAATTTGAGGCAAAAAACTGCAATAAACTATTCAAGTGTGAATAAATACAAGCAGTTCAGTGAGTTTAAGCTCAGTATGGATGACACTTAATCTAGTCTTCTTTTGTAGCAGGGGAAAAGTTGGATGCAGGTGCCTTCTATTTACATATAAACCAAAGATCATATACAAGGTCCTCCAGCATGCACACACAGACATCACCCATGACCCAGGGCATGAAGCCTTTAATGCAGCGATCAATATCACAACCAATGTATACCAGCAGGTGTTGTAGCAAGCAACATGTGATTCTGACACATTTACATTTATAGACTAAAGACAAACAACAGAAAGCTCAATCATGTGCATGAGTATATAACTAAAATAGTAACTGTACTGTAAATACAAAACACAGGGGAAAGGACAGGTCGACTTTTAATCAGGTTGCAACTGGCAACCTCAGAATGGGAACTTTTCAATGGCTGCTGAGGAATGGGAGAGAGCACATGTGGGAATACCTCAGTGCAGTGATGTCAATTCTTTATTGATTCATTCATTCTGTAAATACAGGGTTAACTCTTTGAGTTGCAAGGAACGCATCATACGTTTATAGGTTCCTACCTAGAGGCCCAGTGAACGCAAGATGCGCTGATTTTACGTCTCTCTTGACTACCCCTTGGGCCTGTGATGCTAAACCCACTGGGACTCAAAGAGTTAAAAGTACTATTATTTCAATCTTTCAATACTAAACACATTTGCTCTAGGGTCGACCTAGCCTTATATAAATTGTTATCAGAAAATCTCCAGGATTTTTTTTAGAACTGTCTCAGAAGGAATATAATGATCTGGATGGGGAGGACTACAGTAACTGTATAGACTGCAAAAAACAAAAAATTAATAAGTGCTGACATTTGAGTGAAAATGACCAATGTAGAAGCCAGATTTCAGTAGTGTCATCATCAGCATGTCCTTTGCAGAACGTCGCTCTCACCACAGTCTGCCTGAAAGAAACTCGGTCTCTTGCCAGTTCTCAACAGAATACTTTCACACTCAAGGAGTCACTTATATCCTGTGCCCATCTTCGTGTCGATCAACCCATGCCTATCCTTCCTGGTACGATGCCTTCTGCATTACAGCTCTTTTTCCAATCCATTGTGGCGCTTGATATGACCAAAATATATTAGCATCCTTATTGTTTCCTTTCAATCCTTTTCATGATAATTCGTAAGAGGATTTTGCTAGCATGACTTAATGCAATGGTATGGTAGTTAGAGCATAGTTTCAGATTTCTGACAAAATACGTAAGGTAAAAGAACACCACGAAATGGTTGAGATTTACAAGATAGAATTAAAATACCATGTGTCTCTTGACACTGAAAGATTTAACATGGCAACAAAAATTTTACTAACAGGTCATGAAAAACACATTTTTAGAGTAATTATTAATTATTAGTCTAAAAAGTATGCACACAATTATTAGTATCAAGAGTAATCAATGAAATTAATAATATAAAAAGCATGCTTACCTCTGTTATAAGTTCAGGGCATTTTATAGAAAAGCACTGTAAAGCAAAAGAAAAAAATTAAAATGGGCTTTCTTAATATTGTTAAAAAACATAAAATTTAAAAAAAAAAAGGCTGAAATAAATAGGAAAAACCTGACGTTAATTGACTTGTAAAAAGACAGAATTACAAAAAATGCTTCAATGTAATTTTGCTACAACTAAGATATAAATGACAGCAAGCATTAATTCTCAACTATAAGTAAAAAAAGTAAAGATTCCTTTTCACGCCTTTCGGCGCATCGGGCATATGGGCAGAGCGTCCCATATTTTTACAGACCATCAGCACTCATTGGGTAATGTGGTCAGCATTACGCCGATTCTCAACTATAAATCCCACTAAAAGAACGTTAGGAAAAAATATTGCATATCAACTCTTTGAATCTCAAGGAACGCATCATACGTTCATAGGTTACTGCCTAGAAGCCTAATAAACGCATGATGCGCTGATTTTACGTCTCTCTTGACTACCCCTTGGGCCTGTGATGCTAAACCCACTGGGAATCAAAGAGTTAAAAGTACTATTATTTTAATCTTTCAATACTAAACACATTTGCTCTAGGGTCGACCTAGCCTTATATAAATTGTTATCAGAAAATCTCAAGAATTTTTTTAGAACTGTCTCAGAAAGAATATAATGATCTGGATGGGGAGGACTAAAGTAACCGTATAGACTGCAAAAAAAAAAAAAAAAAAAAAGAAAGACAAATTACAATAGATCACATACTAAATATTATCAACAGCAAAACCAATCTACCCTGCACATCTGTTCTCAGCACTTAGACAGCAGCACCTCTCCAATAAAACATTTCCAATAATAAACATTACAAATAAAAAGCAAAGAAACAGAGAGTACAATAACAGCCATAAACTTCACAGAAGTACATCCTAGCAGCATTTTCATATAGATTAGCACCAACAACTCAGTAAAGACTCCTGAATCTAGAAATTGAGCAAGTGGTACCTGAACCATTCTTAAGTAACTTCATAGCTGAGATAAAGACTTTCAAGACTACAGAAGAAATACAGACAGAAAAAAAAAATATTAGGAGAAACATACATAGCAAACAATCTTCTCAGAAACTTATTCAATCATTTTAAGAATGGAGAGCAAACAGAATGAAGAACTAACAGACATTAAGCGTAGCAAAGCAATGATTATGTCACATTACAAAAGTATTCTTTTACATTGCAACACGCCTAGAAATGAACAAAGCTGACAAACTGATAACGGAGGTGGAAGAGATGTGTTTGAAACACCTATAGGACCATGCAGTTTTCAACCCATGACATGAGAAAGATGTTGATTGTCACTGCAGCTCTGAAGTGAACCAGCAACAATTTCCAGCCATCGCAGGACATTTAACAGACAGAAATACCACTTTTTAATAAACTAAAAATAAAAATAAAAAAACCTTAGCTCCCAGGTTGACCCAGACGCTAAAATGGGTACAAGGTAAAGTCTTGGGAAGTAAAGGCGACCAGCATGACGCTGACCATCATGGGCCAAATGGTCTTTAAAATATGAGTCAATCATCATATGCCCACAGCGCCACTGTCATGGAAAAGGTCTTTTACTTAATAAACTAAAGCTATGAGACAATTAATGCAATTCTGAAATTGGTAAATAAATGACTACTAAACTAGAGACGTTTGCAGAACATTTGCAGATCCAATAGAGACAATTATTGTGAACTTGCACGCACCTTGTCAGGACAAACTATCTGAAGATTTCGACCAATTCAAACTGACTTAAGTTTTTTTAAATTTTAATAAATATTTATGTAACTCGACTCTAAACATTAATTAATTATTTACCTTCTGGTTAATAATTTTTTTTGAATAACTTTCAGAAGTTCTGCCTCTTCTCTTAGGTCTTACTTCTGGTATAATGTATACTGGCTAGGGCTCTCCTTTAAATAACGGTCGCTAGCTGCAAGGCGACGTTCGCTTAGTTGGAGTTCACTCCCTTGGCTGCAGTGCAAAAACAGAGTGGTAAAGAGGGAACGAAACAAATGATATAGTTACCTGTCATCCTAGGGTTAGGCTTAGGGCGTGGGTTAGGATTTGGGGTAGGGTTAGGGGTAGGGTTAGGGGTAGGGTTTGGGGTAGGATTAGGGTTTGGGTTAGGGGTAGGGTGACACATCACGGACACGACGGAAGCTTATAGCTCATTACGACATACAGATCCGCAGGTCTCACATCTACGGTCACTAAGTCGGAAGTACGCTGTCGCTAATGTGAGTCACAGCGTGTGGTCTACGAGAGTCTTGCGTCGCAAGACCGCGGTCGCTACTGTCAGTCGCAGCGTGTGGTCTAGCTCTAGCAGGCATGCCGACCTCACTTTGTTTTTTGATTCGTGACTTGTCTGCTCCGTATTTGCACTGCAGCCAAGGGAGTGAACTCCGACTAAGCGGCCGTCAACTTGCAGCTAGCGACCGTTATTAAAAGGAGAGACGCCTGTTAACTTTTGGGCTAACTACAAGCTTGAAACGTCCTTGACTGACTTTCTACTCCACCATGACATCATACAAGCGATAAACACCCGATGACACAAAGTGCCACCATGCGGATGAGGATCGCCGCAGAGAGGTCCCAGAAACCGCGTTCAGACATTTGGCCATATTTATGGCCTGCCTATATTGCGGCCCCCGGCAAAAGCCAGGGTGGAGCTTCGAATTAAAAATTTCATCCTGAAAAGGTTGATAAAGAATGAATGTAAGAAGTGGCTGCTTGGTTGAAACGTCCTTTCTTATAGTGCACTTATATACTACTAGTACTGACTTATAAATAATTACTGATTAATTAAGTAACTCCAATTATACATAACTAATATTAATAACTAGATTTGTTAGTATTTAGACGAATTAATAATGAATTCGTATTCAGTGGGTGGAACCGAACCAGACAGAATCCGGCTCCAGAATCCCAATAATTATTTATTTAATTTTAACCCCCCAAAAGTAACTGTGTACCTTGCAGGAGACTTTATAAACAGTAAATCCCTTTGAATGAAGCCGGGGATCAGTGACAGAGAAATTCCAAACAATGTCGTGCACATTTAATTGCTCATCCTGCTCCATCGTCTAGCCACGACGCCTCACAACCCGAACATTTGCGTTCACATCTCAGTTATGATTCAATTCAGTCGTGCAGAGAGTTGGCCTTGTGTCAAATGATGGACCCGGAAGCACTCGCGTTAGTAACGACAAACAGGGGGAGTGAACACTACAATGATCAAATGAACATACACTCAGTGTTGCCACTTTGGATGTTTGACATTCAGATTTAGATGTTTTCCCTTGCATTTAGATAGCGCTTTGACGTTTAGATGGTAGATGTTTTTCTAGAAGTTTTCATTTGAAGTGAATTTATCAAATATAACCTAAGAAACAGGATGAAATTTGACCTCTTAAATGCTATCTTGAAAAATAAAATTCGGCCTGATAAGAGTAGGAAAAGGCTGTTCCACTTATCAGCTCCCTGATTGAGTACTGAAAGAAATTGGAACAGCTAAAGCATTCCAGAATCATTTTGGATCTGAAGCTTCAACTTCATCATCCAAGCTAAGTTTATCCTATGAATCTTGTAAGGTAGACTTCAATAAAGTGAGGACATGATTCTATAGGGTAAGTCATATCAATTGATACGTAATTTGTGACTCTTTCCATTTGGATTTTTTTCTATATGTTTTTCCTGCAAATTTAGATATATTTTTACTCAGTTTTGGATGTTTTTTGTGAAAGAAAAGTGGCAAGACTGCACACACTATGACTTGAAGGTTCATCAAGGAGGGAAAAGAGGGAAAAAACACAAAATAGTTAAACGCATCGGCCAAAGTCTTTATCGGCATCTTCTTCTTCGCGTCTACTGTCATAAGCCTATATAAAAGCTATCGTGCAGCTTAATTTTCCTGTGTGCCATACAGCTTTGTTTTAAGTGAGTTTAGAACAGGCTGAACGTAAGAGAGAAAGAAAAAACATGTGAAATACTATTGTTCATTTAAAGGTCATCTTCATCGCGCATCAGACCTGACCATTAGTGCTCCGAACTCCTCCTGAGTATGCCTACAAGTGTTTTTAGGCTAACAACAACTATCCTGTTCTAACTGATGGGGCGACGGGTAGCTCTCGCATGGTTTTCCAAGTGGTAAACCCAGTGTATGCAGTATATTCAGTAAAAAATCATTTTTAACGAAAATGAAAGCCTCACAGCGTTTAGTCTCTCGTATGGCGTTGATGATGTCTCTGCTGTCCATAGATGGCCATCCCTGATAGTCGCACTGCCAGCCGGAGCATCCGCTCTCCCATTGCCTTGCACACCAGCATGCCCTAAGACACAAATGAAAGTGGTTTTGCGGAACATTCAGTGCTGTATCAGATAGAGCCACTTTTTCCGTATGTGGCCGGCCTTGACCTTCTGTAGCATGCTCATTAAGTGGCTGAGCAAACATGCATTGGTGGATTCCTGAGTTTTCAGCCATTCTAGCTCCTTTGTCACAGCCATTACCTCCGTTGTCATGCTGCTGCTGGTAGAAGCAAAGGCTCCTCTATTGTCCTCTTTGATTAGTGATTAGTGATTAGAAAGGAATATCATCACAGCACTCTGGACATATCCATAGGTGCTCCAATTTCCTCCTCAAAAGTGATTAGTGATTAGAAACGATTATCATCACAGCACTCTGGACAGATCCATAGGTGCTCCGATCTCCTCCCCAAAAGCTCCACAAGTGTAAAACGACTGATGACGCCTGTTTTGTTGGTTAATAGAACGTCTTGTCCTCTTAGTGAAATGTTCATTTCTTTAAGCTCCAGGCTGCACCCCCATGTCCATCCGTCTAGACAGGGATATGGAGTCATGTTCTTTGGCGTGCTCCTCAGTACGGTAAGTGCAGCGCATGGCATTGATAACCTCACTTCTGTCCAGTACTGGGCCAGCCATAGCAACTGCAGTGTCAGCAAGATAGTCTGCACGCTCGTTCCCCTGGACACCCGCATGACCTGGCACAAAGATAAAGGTTAGGGCAGATATTCGTAAAGTGCTTAGTGTTTCAATCCATTCTTGCCTGATAAATCCAGCTTGAATTTTTTAAAACATGCATCGAGTCACTAAGAATTCATACATATGTGAACTTTTGAGTACCAAACCATGCTAAAGCCCTTGTTACAGCCATAGTTTCCATTGTAAGGCTACTAGTTGTAACAGCAAAGACGCCATTCATCTCCTTGATGGTTTTTCCCCTTGAGCTTATTGTGAAGGCCCATGCACTTCGCTTGCCCCTAGTTACTGACCAATCTGTGTAAACTATAGCATCACCTTCATCTGTGTTTTCGTCAATCAGTGTTCTAACTAAAGTGTCAGCAATGCCAGGAATCTGCTCTCTACAGCTGCCATCAAGTGTGATATGGAGTGTAATATGGACTGTCACCCTGACACCCTGATAATCGGCAGCCATAACTCGCATTGCAGCCAAACCTTTTCTGGCTTTGTTGATCATAGTATCAACTTGGAATCTGCAGCTAAGGCTTCAATCAAAACATGTATTTTAAAAGTTCAGTCCTTGCTATCTTTTTACTATTTATATGCGAAGAGGGCGTTATTGAGGAGGCATAATTATTTAGTTATTGTCGTGAACGTTCATGCACTTCGCTTCTGACAAATCACAGAACTATCTGTATTTATAATAACAGCGTCTTCCGACGATGTTTGTTCCTCCACCAATGCTTTCACTTCTGCATCAACTATTTGAGGCGCCAAATCACGACATTGTCTTGTCAGGGTGACAATCGCCACAAATTACTGCTTGTATTCGTTTGGTATGGGTATCCATTGTTCTCCACTGTTTATGTCTTAAAGGGAAAAAGCCCGTTGAAGAACTGTCTTTGCCTGGCCCAGCCAAGACTGGCCTTGTTTGAGTCTGCCTTTACATATATTTAGTTCATCGTACAGTGGATGTGTAAAGACCACAGTGATTTTGAGGTAGGCTTGGGGCAGCCAAGCATGATGCACATGGCTTCATGTTGTACCTTTTATAGTCTGTCGATCTATGTCTTGTGAGGGCGAGGATTGCCTGTGCATATTCTATTTCAGAGAGGATCAAACCCCGATAGAGGATGACTGAAAGCCTTTGTTGACCACACATGACAGCCATAACTCGCATTGCAGCCAAACCTTTTCTGGCTTTGTTGATCATAGAATCAACTTGGAATCTGCAGCTACGGCTTCAATCAAAACATGTATTTTAAAAGTTCAGTCCTTGCTATCTTTTCCCTATTTATATGCTAAGAGGGCGTTGAGTGTACTATGTGATTGTTCAAAGAAAGCCAAGTTGCAGTCAAATACATAGCAACAATGGTCTGGAATCTAATGTACTTATTTTGGAAGATTTTTCTTTTAAGGGAATTGTACTTGCTAGTTACACTCACCATAACCCAAGGCAGCGATTCCCAAGCTTCCATAGAGTAAATGAAACAGTCGCCAACAAGGTGCTAACATTGCAAATAAGTTAACAAAAATTACTATTTTAGTTTGTATTGTTCTGTAATAAGTGATCCGGTCCTCCTACATTTGTATTTATAGCAGACGACGAATACCGTTGACTGGGTGATTGAGTCTAGGCGAGAGACTGCAGATGATTGATATTATTTGTTTATAATTTTTATTTCTAGATTTGGTTGATGCTGTATCAATTTATTTATCATTTTTTAATCGTTTATATGTTGAGAGAACTCTATGAGGCCGGACTTCCTGTGGTACACATACTTGGAGCTGTTAACGAGGTTTTCAACTGTTTTTTTTTTTTAATTTGTTCTAATGAATGAAAAAACTTAAATAATGTAATTGTAATGATATATTAATAATATTAATATTATTATTCCTTTAATAATCGCTCCTTATGCTAGATTATGTAAGAGCTATTGATAGAGAAAATAAAAGAGCCATCAGAACAAGAGCTGGCCTCACAGACTTGTTCCCAGTAACATCATGAGTAAGGGTGTGTTTTTTCACCTTTAGTTTTACTTTTTATAATATTCATAGACAGTATTAATAAAAAATAGACACAACAAACACCACCAGATGTCGATAAACAGGAGGACTTCAATAAGCTGCTCTTTGTCGACGATCACTGCTTATTCCACAGTAAAATTAAACAGCTGCAGGACCACATAAACCAATTAAACGACAGTTACCATAATCAGTCACATAAAGATTAATACTTAAAAAAAAAAAAAAAAAATCTTACGCAGAAGTCATGAGAATAATTAGAGAGCAACAAAACATCGACATTAAGATAAAAGATCAAAGTCGGAAAAATTGCAAGAATTAAATACTTGAAAAGCATCTTTACATACAATGGTAAAAAAACAACAAAGAGATACAAACGAGAATCCGACATGCCAAAAATGTCACTTACCAACTTGCTCTAGTTTTAAAACACTCTGCTATACCAATACAGACAGAAAAATCAAATTAAAAATACAACATTTATAGCGACTTTAGGTTACCAATGTTAGACTTGGACATTGACAAAAGATTACGAAAGAAAACTAAACAGCTGTAAGATGAGATGTTTGAGAATGTCTGTGAATAAAACCAGAAGCGAGCGAAGTGAGAAACGATGGACTCATTGTTTAATTTATTGAGAAACAAAGAATGAAATTATTTGGCCATCTAATGAGAATGAAACCAACGATGCCAGCAGCAAGAGTGAACAACGTGAAAATTGAAACTCCAAGAGGCAAGAGAAGAAGATAGACTGAAGGAGTTACTGAGACCTTGACTCCCCCCAGAGGCCATTAGCTTGTAGTGGTGGGGGAGCTTGAGAGCCTCAATGATCTAATGAGCTATGCCGGTGAGAACGTAAGTTCCTGGTAGGGTCACCCAACCTGGACAGGTCATTGGTGAAGGGCCAGACTAAAGATGGCCTCCCGGTCCTCCAGGCTCGGAGGTTGGGCGCAGTGTTGACAGCTCTGCCCTGTAAAAAATCTACAACGTTACTGAAACTTCAAGAGGAAATAAGTGCTCTAAACGTCCGGCGGTCTTGAGACAGAGCCCCTCTGTCAGCATGAACAACATGGGTGAA